TTGACTAAATTAATCTAAAATGCCACTCGTTGTTGCCGTTTCATGAAGCCGCCGGCCATGCTTGCATAACTCGTGCCTTTATTGAGCATAATTGCTGCTTGCAACTATATATGATTCTGTTATTTTCCCATAAAGCTGCTTTGAATCTGTATAAAGCGCTATAGAAATAAAGCAGACTTGATTTTGAGGTGTTTTCTGATCATGCATGGGATTTTTTTCACCTGTTTTATTGTTTTTGATTATTATTTGACTCTGCATTGCATTCACAAACATCCATGAAAACATTTATCTGAGCGCTGAGACATGAACCTGTAGACCCGGGTGTGTGTGTGTTGCGTGTGGCATGGCGTGGCGTGGGTCCATTGCCTGTTGGTAGAGATGAGGTTCACCTCCAGCCCCCCCCCAGTCTTCTGCTTGATTACTCATAATGTAATTTTAATTAAAACTGCGGTGTCAAAGGGTTTTGCGAGCCCAGATTGCAGCACTGTGAAGCTCCTCACTTGCTTCAAAGGAAATGCATCTTGACACCACCGGGACGCCGAGATCAACAAAAGCTGCTCCTCTTTATGGGCATGTGATCATATCACCGATACGATCCCGCGTGCGGACCCTCGTTTATCTTTACATCAGTCGCTGCGCTTCTGATCAGGCATTATCTGCAGATTATTATGATCATTAAAGCATAAGTTGCAATCTCCGCCTAACACTTGAAATCTGCTTTAACAAATACATAGTGATCAGTTGACTTGACTTTAAATTATTAAGTAAATAAACGTCATGCTTAATTAAAAAAAATCTGATTATTGTGATCATTAAAGCACAAGTTGCAATCTCTGCTTAAATTAATACATAGTTAACTAAGCATATTACGTATTATATGAATCAACATGAAACAATGCTACATTTTTCTAAATGTCATAATCTTTTGTTAACAAACAAGTATTGATTACTTCAATGAGCTCATAGTTCCTGCCTTTAGTTATTAATATCCATTGATAAGTGGACAGCATTGCTGAGTATTTCCTCCTTAAACTGCAGTGAACCAAAGACAGTCTCAAAAACACGCTTTGAAATCGCTGGTGTTTCTGACGTCACAAACCACCTTGTAACCAATCAGATCAACGAGTGATCGACAACCAGTGGATCTCTGAGTGAGGGAGTGAGTGGAGGCGGGGCTCATTTGCATATTCATAGATACTATGAGGCAAAGGTGTCGAGTTACATTCTATTTTTTTCTAGGAAAAAAAACTTTAAATAATTAATTTTGGTGATCAAAGATTATTTTTAAGGGATGTGATTACTGACTACAGGGCGACTTTAATCATTTTTCCCAGTCTTTGCTGAAAGCACTTTTTATATAAAATACACGTTTGTTTTTCCATTCCAAGAAAAATCTTAAATTTACGGCAGTTCAAGAATTATCGACCAGTAATGTCAACCGACCGAAAGAAAGAAAGGTTCTCTGCAAACAATTTAGTGTTTAAAAGACGTCTAATATCCGTCCAAACACAGCCCTGACGTTTAACAGACGTCTAAACCATCGCCCATTTCATTTCTTTGTCATCTAATTGATGACTTTATTGTTGGGCGATGGTTTAGACGTCTCCCTGACAGGTCAGATGTTGCCTTGTTTGAGACGTCTGGCTGTGTCGTGTCTTTTAAACGCTGAACTGCTCGCTGGGATGTTTGCTAGTCTCCGCGACTCTGATATCTCCTCTTCTGTCCCTTTAACATTAGTCTGTGGGACGCCGAGCCTCCCGCTGCGGTTGGCCGGTCAGCGAGCCGTAGTGTAAGAGGTTTTAACTTTGCTAACCTTCCTCTGCCAGGATCACGACGGCCTGCTGCTGCCGGGGAATATTGGAGCGGTGGGTCGCATCCCGGCCTTGGCAAACCGCTGACGGGATGATATTAAACTCTCCATCGGTGTCAGATGGAGGAAATAAACACAAAGGTGCACATCCTCGGGCAGGGCTCGCGGATCCGTCCAAACCAGAGTCCAGGTGAGCCTGTGCTAATTAGGCTTCACACACGCTCAAAAACACACACGGTGAAAACACACACGGTGAGGATGTTCAATCAGTCGTGTAAGAAGACATGCTATTCTGCTCTCTAAAAAGGTTATTTCAACCCAACTTTGGGTCAAATATCTATGGCCGTTGGGTTACATTTTAATATTGCATTTTTTACCCAACGTTGGGTTTGTCCATATGTGACCCAAAATTGGGTTAAAATAACCCAGCTTTTTTTTTTTTTTTAGAGTGCAGACTCCTAAAGCTGCACGTAGTATTCTACATAGTGTGGACGGATGGATTCCACACTCTCAAATAGTCTTGGGTTATTTTTTCTACCCAAATCCTGGGTTGAGCCTTTTGGGTCAGTTTTTTGGGGTTATCTTTTCAGTGTTTGGGTGCACTCTAAAAATGCTGGGTTGTTTTAACCTAATTTTGGGTCAAATATTGACAAATCCAAACATTGGGTTAAAAAATGTAATTTAAAAATATAACCCAATGGCTGGATTTGTCCATATTTGACCCAAAATTGGGTTGAAACAACCCAGCATTTTTTTTTTGGAGTTGTGTAACTCAGATCCTGCGGCAGATATGAATTACTTCATGTTTATTTTTTACTTCTAATATTTGTTAAACAAGCTTAAATGTTGGTAATGTATTAACAATATAAAATATGTTATACGGTAAAATATGATTCAAATAAAGTAATTATTGTGTGGAATATGAAAAAACTAAAAGTTATCATTAATTGATGTATGAAGTAAAAAAAAAGAAGAAAAAAAAGCTAATACTTGTAAAAATCAATCAAGCCAGCCAGTATGCTGGGTTAAAAAACAACAACCCAATTTGCTAACCCAGCATGTGTTCTGTCCAGAACCCAAAAAGAACCCAAATTGGGTTGTTTTTAACTCAGTGTTTTTAGAGTGTGTGTTGCTGTCTGCATGGGAAGAAAACTAAATAGAGGTTCTTCATTGGCATCGATGGTTCATGAAGAAACCTTTGCCATCCGTGGAATCTCCATTGCTCAAATGGTTCTTTATAGAACAATGTTCTTTGGATTATCAGACTAAAGAAAAACACATTTTTCTATGACATCACTGAGAAAACCCGCTTCCCATTGTGGAATCATGTTTGTTAATTCTGTTTTAATTCATTTTTAAATGGAATTTTATGAATTAAGCTGTTCTTAAACAAACTTTATCACTAGAAATGTTTTTTTTTTAAGTATTATGCAATAATTTCTCCTCTTTTTGGCATAAACAGTTTTAAGTGTGAAAATAGAACCCTAATGAACCTTTCTTTGCTTTAGTGCTGGAATTGAAGTCATTAAATACTTGATAAACTAAACAAGGAAACATTCTATTTCATCATTCTTCACATTATGGGAATGACGCATTTGATTGTTCTGAAACAAGTAACATTTAAACGTTATGAACGTCCAACTAAAACATTTCATAAAACAAACGTGCATGAGCGATGTGTATGTTTTGAGAAAATTACAAAGCACGTTCCCATAATGTTTAAATGATACAACATGAATTACACTCTTTTGAAACTAAATCCAATCTCAGCTGAATAATGGCACTTGTGTAATATTGTATAATTGTCTTCTGGTCTGGATGTTCTCGGAACGTTCAAAATAATGTTTTTATTGGTTCTCTGAACGTTCTGAAACATGTATATATAGAAAAGTTAGACGAACATCCAACCAAAACATTTCAGAAAAAAACTTCCACGAACATCGAGTTTCAATAGTTTTCATATTTTGCAACTCTCAAAAGTAACGTTCCCATAACGTTTGAAGAATTATGGAATGTTAACGTTCACTTTTTACTTAATGTAAAAAAAAATTCAGATATAATGTTTTCATATAACTTGATGTGAACATTAGACGCTGGGATTGTCCGAACAGCTGGTAAACTCTCTCACTCTCTCTCTCTTCACCTAGCTGTGTGTGTGTGTGGGTGTGTGTCGCTCTTCACATGCACGCGTGTTTAGACCCTTTGTTTGATGAGATTTGTCTTGTTGAGGAGTGTGTGTGGTTTGGTCTGTCTGATGGCGTGTGTGAGACACTCAGATGTCTGTGACCGCGGATAAGCTTTTTACTGTGGGAAACACAGACACGCGTTCACTTCAGCAACAGCAGAAACAGCGTTCGGGCGTTCAGTGTCAGACCTGCGGTGTGTGTGTCTGCTGCTGTTGCACAACTGGATTCGACATTAAAGCTGTGGTGTGAGACTGACACGCGCACGGCAGGTAACGCGCTGCTACAGGTGTCACACGCACACACACGCGCTGCGACAGGTGTTACGCGCTCACGGATCTCACGGTTTCATAACATTTTCTTTCATCGTTGACCTTAACACTGCTGTAACTCGAGGTGAGATCCAGTGATGAGATTTAAAACTGCACATATTCACACAACTCGACTCTACCGCTTCTGTGCGTCTCAGTTTGTGTTTAAAAATGATAAAGTGAACGCTTCATTACTAATTACTAACCAATTTCATTATTTATTCTATCTAAATGGCCTATCAATAACATATTTGGATTTATTTAAATTCAGTTTTTTGTTTCTACACACACACTCGCGCAGGCGCGCACGCAATCGGTCAAGGTAGGCGTCTTAAAAACGTGTTTACATAAATGCTAGTCTAATACAGCAATTGTCTTGTTCATTTATAGATTTTGTAAAAATAGTTTAGGTTTAAGGTCTTTATGGAATAATTAGCCTATGCAAAAAAAAATCCTCCAGAGGGAATGTCACATGTTGTCATCACGAAATTAGCCTATGGTAATTAATACAAAGCGTAACTTTATTTTTTTATTATTATTCTAAATAATTTCCCCTAATATCACCAGCCAAAATTGTCATCGTTTATATTGTAGAACTCTTGAACTACAAACAATCACCTATCGTTCAGTTGTGGTGGTTTGTAGCTCATTCTGAGCCCCGCAGAACTACAATAACCAGAAGCTCTAGCGTATTTTGCCGTTGTCGTCACCGGAAGTGAGTGAAACACCCGGTCTCACTGTAAACACGCTGCGCAGAGGGTGACATTGGACACAGATGAATGTTTTATAACAGTAAAACATCTAATAACTAGTGACAGTAACTGAAGTGTAGATGGATCCGTCTAAAGCAGGTACAGGAGTGTTTTTATTTCAGCGGGAATGTTTCTTATGAATGTGTGTATGAATGTCAGCACTACTGTCCTCAATCCATCATATGCGCTTATAGATGCGAGAAATGTCATGTTTTTGTTATATAAAAAGCATTTGATATGTTTTTGATCATCTGCAGATATAGACTGTGGCATCAGGAGGGGTTTTGGGTGAATCATTTACATAAATGAATGAATCAAATGATTCTTCTAGGATAATGTACAGCTGTATGTTTTCATTCATATGAACATGATTATGGATTATTGACTGAATGTTGTGGTTCATATGAACATGATTATGGATTATTGACTGAATGTCGTGGTTCATATGAAGATGATTATTGATTATTGACTGATTATGTTTGTCCACAAAAGAGCCGCCCTTGAGGCACGTGGAGACCGACGTGTTGATTCCCAAGATGATGCGGGAGAAAGCTAAAGAGAGATGCGTTCAGAACGTGGATGGTGAGTTACACACACACACACACACACACACACACACACACACACACACACACACACACACACACACACACACACACACACACACACACACACACACGCACACACACACACACACACACACACACACACACACTCACTCGCATACACTGTAACTCATATTTCTGTAACTAGCTGCATTGATCATTTGGGTAGGAGTCGAGTTAATGATTTAATTTACACTTTTTTGTTGAAAACTATTTATGGTCACTGACATGATGCAAATCTCTTTAAAATGTTGTTTTAATGTTTTATTTAAAAAAGTTACACATCTAGATAGTTTGAGCTGCATGACTAATGGAAACACTGCCTTGTAAAGGTTTTCATGCTTGACTACAAACAGCTAAAAGTATAATAATATTAAATTCTTCACTTTCAAACGTCTTCAGTTTCAACCCGTCAAATCCCCCGCTTTTATTTTGCTGAAATATGGGTGGTTTTTTAGTATACACGTTTCTATGAATATGAATATGCAAATGAGCCCTGCCTCCACTCCCTCACTCAGAGATCCACTGGTTGATGATCACACGTTGATCTGATTGGTTACAAGGTGGTTTGTGACGTCAGAAACACCAGCGATTTCAAAGCGTGTTTTTGAGACTGTCTTTGGTTCACTGCAGTTTAAAGGAGGAAATACTCAGCAATGCTGTCCACTTATCAACGCACACACGATGTGTGTTAAAGCAGATTAAACACACCACATACACACACAAACAACATTAAACGCTGATTTACACCATTAGCTGTCATGTGACCTCAAAGGTCAAAAGGGTTATGGCCAAATGAGTTCACAACAAAATACTTAGGCATTGCTACTTTTCTTTTAAAAGGATTGTTGAAAAATTGCGTTAGAAGCAGTGTGTGTGTGTGTGTGTGTGTGTGTGTGTGTGCTTTGATGCTCAGTCACACTCTGCTCTTCTCTGTGATTGTTTGTGCTTCTGGACTGGAAACCCCCTGGTTTGCTCATTGATGATCTCACACCTCAGTGTGTGTCGGTGTGTGTGTGCGCTCTTGCACTGTGCCATCAAAGTGCTGCTTTCCTCCAGCTCTGACCACAGACTGAAGAACCGGCTTCGTTCTGCAGCTTCAGGCCAGATGCGCTCGCCTCGACTCGGCTCAGATCAGAGCTGAAGCTATTAATGCGTCTGTGGACTCTTTCTGATCAGAGCTCGTCATCCAGCACACACACACACACACACACACATCTCTATCATCTTTCATCTGTGAGAACTCGCTCACCCAAGGCTACTGTGTTCACCTAAACGAAAACTTAAACTATTAGTCAAAAAACATTTTCGTAAACAGAAATAAAATAATAAATGAAAAACTAAAGAAAACTAACAACAGATACTGATAAACAAACTCAAATATAGAAAATCTGTGGTTTAGGGAAGTTCCTGGGCTGTAGAAAATAATTGTTGGTTTAACTTAAAATAGTAAGTTGCCTTAATTTTGAGTTCATTAAAATTAAAAATTTGAGTTCATACAATGAAGGACATTGATTTAATCAACAGAATCTCAAAATATTATGTAATCTGAACCACAGTTATTATCTAAGTTCAATTGACAATAGAATTTTTTTTGTGTGATTATAAACCATAAATGTCTTTCTTTTTTTTGTTTGTGTGTTTATAGCAATTAACCACTGAATTATTCATATGTTTTACTTTCTAGTTGCATTTATTTGGTTTCTATGTCCAATCTCGAACTATTCTTTTGTTTGTATCTCTAAGATCCATGAGAGGAACTGCAATCTTGCAAACATTACCCTTCGCTCAACTCAAACGCCCGGCTTTCTGTTAACTATATGAAAACTAAATGTAAATGTGTTCGCAAAATAAAAACTGAACTAAAACTAACAATGACACAAACTAAAACTAAACTGAAATTTAAAGCAAATTAAAATAAAAACTATAATAATCTTGGCTCCTCCTCTCCATCCCGTTTATGAATATTTAGATTTTCTTGGAAATATTTTGCTGGTAAATGACGTGAACTAAAATGCAGTTTTGTTGAAATTATAAAGTAATTTCAACCCTAACCCTGTAAAATATGTTTTATTTTCTGTAATTTCACTTTCATGACCCTTTTAATAATCAAAAACATAATGCATATAACTCTTAAGATTTAGTTTATTATTTAAAAATGTAATCAAATGAAATTTGAACGATTCCTTTATTTTTTGCTGTTTACATTTAATCATAGATAACAATAAATTGTGTGATTCTTTAAAAAAATATTCAAAAACTGTATTTTTATTATTTTGAGAAGTGCATTCTACTGTACTCATAGTGATATATATATTCAGCAGTTGTGTGCATACATTCTCTTTATACACACACACACACACACATTCTGTGGCGTTGGTGTGTTTGTGGGCCGTTTCTCGTCCGGCTTCATGTTTATGCATGGCGTCAGATGAGGTTTATATGTATTAGATTAGTCTCACGGTTGTGCTTTCTGGGATTGGTTTGCTGGCTCTGTTCTGCATACAGATGACACACACCGCAATCACACCACACCCACACACACACACAATTACAGTGATGTTTTCTGGGGGAGAGAGAGGGCGTAATTAATGCATAACAAACCCCTCTATGGCCTTGCGCACACACACACACACACACACACACACACACACACACACACACACACTCACACACTCATTCTCACTCATTCTCACTCACTCAGTGAGTTTAAACTATTTTGAACTATTTTACAGTTTAAAATAGTTCAGATTTTTAAAAGTTTTGGAAAGAGTCTCACCAAGGCTGTATTTATTTGATCAGGAATACAGTAAAAACACTGAAATATTATTCTAATATAAATCATCAGTTTTCTATGTGAATATACAGTAAAGTGTAATTTATTCCTGTGATTTTCAGCATCATTACTCCAGTCTTCAGTGTCGCATGATCCTTCAGAAATCACTCTAATATGAGGATCTGGTGTTTTTGGTAAAAAAAAAAAAAAAGAACCATTTTTGTTTACAAAAAACAAACAAACAGAAAACACAGTAAAATGTGAAGCAACATGTGACTCTTTAAGACACAATAAAACATTGATATCCCTCCAAACCTCTGATGGAGGACTGGGCTTGTGTGTGTATCTGTGTGTGTGTATGTGTATGTTTGGAGTGAGTGAGTGTGTGAATGTGTTTAAAGACAGTGTTTGCAGTGTGTGTCTGTAGAGAGAATCGACTCTAACCCCAGGGTTTCCTCTGTTGTGTCCAGCGTTCAACCGTTGCTGTAAAGACGCCGGCTTCTTCATGGTGTTCAAGTGTCGGGAGGAGAACGCGGCTCTGAAGGAGTGTTTGACGCGGCAGTAAGAGCCATCATAACTCGCTACACTTCATAACATCATAACCCATGCCTTTCTTATCACGCATCTTTAAGGGCAAAGTGGTCCAGCTGGTGTAACCATCCGGCAAACATTACAGAAGTTAAAGTGACATTAAAACGCTGAAATTCATGCAGAAAATGTATAAAGTATTTTTGCATAATGTATTTTCATTTACTATTTGTATGATCACGTGTTACAGCATTGGAGTGACTATATTTAAAAATGTTTGAAAAACTTATTGAAGTGGATATATAAGAGATATTTAGACACTTTAATTATATTAATTCGCAGTTCAAACATTAGTGATATTTGTTCCCCAAAAACATGATCAATTCGATCAAATTCTTGAAATTAATACGATTTCAGTATCGAAATAAGGTTCATTCTCTAGTTAACAATGAAAGCATCTATTATGTTCATTTTAACATTTGCTAATGCATTATTAAAATCAAAAGTTGCATATAATATTTAAGTCCTAAGCTGACATGAACTAACTGTATCTTTATGAATTCATTCGTAACACTTGATTCTTTAATTAACTGCATTAGTAATCGTGAACTAATAACGAACTTCACTTACAGCATTTGTTAATATTTGTTAATGTTGATTTGAACATTTATTGATACTTTATTAAAATCTTGTTTTCATTAGTTAATGCACTGTGAACTAACATGAACAGCTGTGTTTTAATTAACTAAGATTAACAAAGATCAGCAAATACAGGAACTAAGATATCACTCATGTTAGTTCATTCATTACCTAATTAACCTGTAACCAATTTTCAGGATCCGCTGTTCTTCAAGGAGTGTAAGCAGGAGTACCTGACGTGTGTGTGTGTGGTTTACTCCTCAGCTATCAGGATCCGCTGTTCTTCAAGGAGTGTAAGCAGGAGTACCTGACGTGTGTGTGTGTGTGTGTGGTTTACTCCTCAGCTATCAGGATCCGGTGTTCTACGAGGAGTGTAAGCAGGAGTACCTGACGGAGAAACGGGAGTTTCAACAGACTGGGATTCCCGCCAAGAACCGGAAGCAGAAGATTCCCACCAGCATGTAGAGCTGACCCGTGTCTTAGCTGTATATTCATAATTGCCTCTTATAAAACATCACTGGCACCAAAAGCCTAATATAAATGCATGGACAGTGTGTTTGATCCGCATCAGACGTGCGTCGTCCCGTGGGAAGCGCCGCCGCATCATGTGGAAGATAATACGCTCTGTGTTTCTGTGTTAAAATACAAATGAAGAGTGGATTTACAATCAGTTTGAGCCTTAAGCGTCTAATGGTTTGAGGCAGCCGGAAAAAAAAAAAAAGATATGTAAATAATTGGTGACAATGTTATACTTTTAATAATAAAACAATGTTTCAGTTAATGTTTCAATTAAGGCTTTATTTATGTCTCTTCTGCTCACCAAAGCTGCATTTATTTGATCAGAAATACAGTAAAAATTGTGAAATATTTTATATTCGAAGTAAGTGTAATTTATTCCTGTGATCAAAGCTGACTCCAGCATCATTACTCCGGTCTCCATCCATCTTCTTCTGCTTATCCGGGGCGCGGGTCGCGGGGGCAGCAGTCTAAGCAGAGACGCTCAGACTTCCCTCTCTCTAGACATTTCCTCCAGCTCTTCCGGGGCGACACCGAGACCTTCAGGAGGCATCCGGATCAGATGCCCGAGCCACTTCAGCTGACCCCTCTCGATGTGGAGGAGCAGCGGCTCTACTCGAGCATCTCACCCTATCTCTAAGGGATCGCCCAGCCACCCTGCGGAGAAAGCTCATTTTGGCCGCCTGTATCCAGGCATCTTGTCCTTCACTCATGACCCAAAGCTCATGACCATAGGTGAGAGTAGGGACGTAGATTGACCAGTAAATCGAGAGCTTTGCGAGAGCTCAGCTCCTTCAGCACAACAGACCGGTACACCCGACCGCATTACTGCCGAAGCTGCACCGATCCATCTATCAATCTCTCTCTCCATCCTTCCCTCACTCGAAGACCCCAAGATACTTAAACTCCTCCACTTGAGGAAGGATTTCTCCACCAACCTGAAGTGAGCAAGCCACCCTTTTCCGACTGAGGACCGCTTCACACTCGGCTGCAAACCGGCCCAGTGCATGCTGAAGGTCCTGGTGTGAGGGGGCCAACACGACATCATCCGCAAAGAGCAGAGACGAAATCGTGTGGTCCCCAAACCT